TGTGTGTGTGTGTGTGTGTGTGTGTGTGTGTGTGTGTGTGTGTGTGTATGTGTGTACAATTTAACCTTTGCTAAATTCATATTTTAAAGGAAGAAAAAGAAAGGGAAAGGAAAGGACAGAATGGGAAATTAAGTAAAAGGGAAGGAAAGGAAGTGAAAGAAAAATAACAAAGGAAAGAAAGGAATGGAAAGGGAAGAAAAGGAAAGGAACAATAAAGGAAAAGTAAAGGAATGGAAAGGGAATGAAAGGAAGGCAAAAGAATGAAAAGGGAAGTAAAGGAATGGAAGGAAAAGGAAAGGGAAAGAAGCGAAAGGAAAGGGAAGGAAGCGAAAGGAAAGGAAAGGAACGAAAAAGAAAGGAAAGGAAGAGAAAAAAGAAAGGGGAAAAGGGAGGGAAATTAATGGAAAGGGAAAGAAAAAAGAAAGGAAAGGAAAAGAAAGAAAAGGAAGTGAAAGGAAGGGAATGGAAAGGAATGGAAAAGGATGTAAAGGAAAGGAAAAAGGAAGGAGAAGGAATGAAACGGGAAGGAAATGGAAAGGAAAGGAAAGGAAAGGAAAGAAAAGGATAGGAAAAGGTAAAAAAGGAAAGGAAAAAGAGTGTCTTGCAGTGACTACTTGTCTATATTTAGCCCAAAACAAAGTTTACAGACCTTGGAGTCCCGTTCTGCAAACTTCTTGAACATGCCTCCATAGATCTTCTTCTCCCGCTCTTGATGTTCCTTCATCATGCGCTGGCAGTTAGAAATCTGAGCTCGAGCTGCTCGGTTTGACGGGTTGACTTCCAGCACTTTCTGAAAGTCTGCCATGGCCAGGCTGTACTCGTTGCGGAGGAGCCGGGCCCCCCCACGACGATACAGAGCCTTCTCGTTGCTCTCGTCCTGTTCAATCACCTTGAACAAACACACAAACAAAGGAACATGATGTGAGTCAAACACCCAGCAGCTGGAGGAGGAGAAATATGAAAAAATGAGCTGCTCACTTTGTTACAGTTGTCCACCACTTGTGAAAACTCTTTTATTCGAAGGAAACACAGCGCTAAGTTAAGGTGGGCTGTCATGACGTAATGCTGTATGGACTTATACTGCTCCATCCCAGAACCACACTCCAACTCCAGCCAGGAAATGATGCGCTGGTACTGGATGACCGCCTGCTGGTATCGTCCCGCCTAAAAATGGAACATAATAATCAATTAGGAACACATAAGTAAAAAACATATACATTTTCCAATAAAAAAATAAAGACAGAAACTTTACCCTAAAATACTGATTCCCTTTACTTTTCACTCCAGCAGCCATTTCCAGCTTTTCATTCAAGTCCATTTCCCAGGATTCCTTAGCCTAGTGTGACAACATTTAGTGAGCCACTGGTCATACAGGTGTACTCCAAAGGGACTTACATGTTAATCAATCTAAAATGGCATGCACACTTTAATTATTTTTACCATTAAAAATGTGAACTCACCCTTTTAAAGTCTTTGAGAGTAACTTCGTATACGATCTCTTTATCTGGTCCAACTTTGTACTCTAGATTACCTTCACTCCCAAAACCGTACCTAGAAAAGTAATGTTCAAATTTGTTATTTACATTAAAGAACAATTCAAAGTAACAAAAACATTGATTTCCTCAAAATGTAGTGAGCAAACAAACAGTTTCTGTCAGAGCAGGAAGTCCTGGTCCTACAACCAAACGTTACCTGTTCCCACTTCTTAACGAGACTAAGTTTACAGAAGAAATGACGTGACATCACCGCACAGGTTTTTGAAACCAAAACCTTTTAATTCAAAACAGATTCAGAATGTTTCGTTTGAGCTCGACATTCTAAAAACAAAGAAGAGGATTGCTCAAACGTGGAAAACAGAAACCATATGGAGAATTACAAAGATGGAGAAAAGATGCAAGAACGGACTGAACACACGCTCCGATAATTTTTTTATTTATCGCCCGTCGTCATAAACAGAAAACAGTCTGTGTGTGTGTACGTGTGTGTGTCTGTTTGTTAGCAATATATCTCATTAACTACTTTACAGGTTTTAAGGAAACTTTAAAAAATGATATATTCAACAAACATCTACAACAATTAACTTTCATAGCCAACCTGATTCAAAATGGCTGCCACAGCCAATCATCCTTAGCAAACACATAAATTGCTATAAACCAGTCATTTTTACAGATATTCACCTAATCCTTAGTGTGGTAGTAGCTGAGAGTCAACCCCATCACAGATTATGTGAGGATTTTTTTTTTTTTTTTTGCTTTTCTGTGCAAGGTGGCGAGCAATGTGTGTTCCTTTGATGAAAGCTGAAAGCAACTTTTTTTATAATCTGAGTTTGAGAGGCACCATTTGTTTAAGATTTCACATTTAAGATGTTTATGAAGCATTCACACTATTGTGATCCATTTTCCTTCCGTACATTTTTCAGCGCATTTCCCATCCCTCAATTTTTAAGCTGTTTCAAAAACTCGTATATCAAAATGTTCTGCTCGTTTAAGAGAAGGGTGATATGACTTTTGGTATTGGTGAAACTTTAGCTTTTTGAAATATTTAGCCTTTGCTGCCACTTTTTTTTTTCACAGAAAATGAATTGAGCTCATTTTACATCCTTCACGTCTTTAGATCAGTTTCCAACCTTTTACTGCTTTACATTTTGTTCTGCTTCAGATTCTTTCAGCTACCTTGTTCAAATTTAAGCTTGGTTCAGCTATTTTCAGTTAATTTCAGCTGTTTTTACAGCTGTTTTGTGCTCATTCTTTAGGGTAACTAAAACATTTTTGTGCTTCTAACTTCTTTCTGCTAAATTCAGCTTGTTGTGCTCCTTTCACCTTATTTCTGCACGTTTCAACTTTTTCTATTGTTTCAGCTAGAATATACAAACCGGATTCCAAAAAAGTTGGGACACAATACAAATTGTGTATAAAAACTGAATGCAATGATGTGGCGGTGCCAACATCTAATATTTTATCAGAATAGAACACAAATCACAGATCAAAAGTTTAAACTGAGAGAATATATCATTTTAAGGGAAAAAGCTGTTGTTTCCAAATTTCATGGCGTCAACAAATCCCAAAAAAGTTGGGACAAGTCCATTTTTACCACTGTGTGGCATCCCCCCTTCTTCTTACAACACTCAACAGACGTCTGGGGACAGAGGAGACCAGTTTCTCAAGTTTAGAAATAGGAATGCTCTAACATTCATGTCTAATACAGGCCTCTAAGGGTGCATTCACACCCGATAGTCCGGTAGACTCGGTTCGGTTGGGGGCCAATATTCATAACATTTTGTATACATTTGAGCTGGTTTGTTTGCATTCACACTGCACTGTGCGGTCGAACCAACCTGTTGAACCAACCTATTCCCCCGCTCGCCTGTGGGGGCGCTGCACCAAGAACTACTGAAAGAAACAACACAAAAACCTCTGAAGACACTTCTTCTTCTTCTGGAAATAAAAACAAAAACGGAGTGGCATCAAGTTTTAGCAGTTTTAGGAGTTATATTTTGTCATTTTTCAAAAATGGACTCAGCATGAGCAGAACATGAGGCAGAAGACCATGAAGAATGTTATTTTTCACACAAAGCAGCTGACGGCTCCATATAAGGTCAGAGAAATACGTGTTTGTTTGTCCTGAGCTGTACTCCACTTCTTGCTTGTGGAGTGGGGCCCGGTCTGTTTACATTCACACTGTACTCGAACCGTGCTGGAGTTCTCTTCTACCGGACCAAGATCTAGGATTTAGCCCGGGCCAGACTTCACCTTTTTGTTCCGTGACAGAGTTCGATGGCACGTTCACACCTCCCCAAACGAACCGGACTTTCTAGGAAAACGAGCTAGAGTTCGATTAAAGCGGACTAAACAGGGCTGGTGTGAATGCACCTTAACTGTTCAATTGTCTTGGGCCTTCTTTGTTGCACCTTCCTCTTTATGATGCGCCAAATGTTCTCTATAGGTGAAAGATCTGGACTGCAGGCTGGCCATTTCAGTATCTGGATCCTTCTCCTACGTAACCATGATGTTGTGATTGCTGCAGAATGTGGTCTGGCATTATCGTGTTGAAAAATGCAGGGTCTTCCCTGAAAGAGATGACGTCTAAATGGGAGCATATGTTGTTCTAGAACCTGAACATAGTTCTCTGCATTAATGGTGCCTTTCCAGACATGCAAGCTGCCCATGCCACAAGCGCTCATGCAACCCCATACCATCAGTGATGCAGGCTTCTGAACGGAGCGTTGATAACAACTTGGGCTATCCTTGTCCTCTCTGGTCCGGATGACATGGCGTCCCAGTGTTCCATAAAGAACTTCAAATCGTGACTCATCTGACCACAGAACAGTCTTCCATTTTGCCACACTCCATTTTAAATTACCCCTGGCTCAGAGCAAACGTCTGAGCTTGTGGAGCTTGCTTAGAAATGGCTTCCTCTTTGCACTGTAGAGTTTCAGCTGGCAACGGCGGATGGCACGGTAGATTGTGTTCACTGACAATGCTTTCTGGAAGTATTCCTGAGCCCGTTCTGTTATTTCCTTGACAGTGGCATTCCTGTTTGAGGTGCAGTGACGTTTAAGGGCCCGGAGATCACGAGCATCCAGTAGAGTTTTACGGCCTTGACCCTTACGCACAGCAATTGTTCCAGATTCTCTGAATCTTTTGATGATGTTATGCACGGTTGATGATGATAACTTAAAAGTCTTTGCTATTTTAAATGGAATGGTAAATGGACTGTACTTATATAGCACCTTTCTATCTTATTAAGATACTCAAAGCGCTTTACACTACAATCTTTTCCCTCATTTACCCATTCATACAGCACTCTACTAGAGCTCTACAAAGCTAATTGAACAAATCATTCTAAAGAGACTAATCAGTGATTTATCACATTCATACACCGATGGGACACACATCGGAGGCAATGAGGGGTTCAGTGTCTTGCTCAGGGACACTTTGGCATGTGACTGCTGTGGGGTTCGAACTACCAACTCTTGCATTGGAGGACGACTGCTCTAACCGCTCAGCCACAGCCGCTGGGTAACACCATTCTGGTATTGCTGCACTATCTTTCTGCGCAACAATGGTGGAATTGGTGATCCTCTTACCATCTTGGCTTCTGAGAGACACCGACACTCTGAGAAGCTCTTTTTATACCCAATCATGTCAATTGACCCAATTAGTGCTAATTGGTCTTCCAGCAGTTTGTTTTATGAGCAATTTCCTTTTTCCAGCCACTTATTGCTACTTGTCCCAACTTTTTTGGGATTTGTTGACACTGTGAAATTTTGAATCAACATATTTTACCTTTAAAATGTTACATTTACTCAGATTAAACTTTGATCTGTCATCTATGTTATATTACGAATAAAATATTGACATTTGCCATCTCCACATCATTGCATTCAGTTTTTATTGACAATTTGTTTAGTGTCCCAACTTTTTTGGAATCCGATTTTGTAGTTTTTTATGCTAATTTAAGCTTTTTCAGCTAATTCCACTTTTTGTTTTGCATTCATTTCAACTTTTTTCAACCTAATTCAGCAAAAATATGCTCTCTCCACGTCTTTCTGGTAATTTCAGCTTTTTTTTGTTGTTGCTTTTTTAGCTACTTTTCAGCTGTTTTATGCTAATTTCAGCTTTTTTCAGGTAACTTACACTTTTTTGTGCTCATTTCTGCTTCTTTCAGCAAACGTGTCCTTTCTGCTTTCGTCTGCTAATTTAAGCTTATTCTACCTTTTCAGCTACGTTTTTAACTTGTTTTAGCTCATTTCAGCAGTTTTCAGATAAATTCAAGTTTTTTGTAGTGATTTCTGCTACTTTTAGCCTACTTAACTTATTTCTGCTCATTTCAGATTGTTATGATAATTTCAGCTTTTTTGTGCTAGTTTCAGCTTGTTCAACTATTTCAGCTAATCTTTAGCTGTTTTGTGCTAATTTTCTACTTTTCTGGTAATTCCACATTTTTATGCTCATTTCAGCTCTTTCCACTTCCTTCTGGTAGTTTAAAGCTGTTTTCTGTCTTTTCAGCTACTTTTCAGCTTTTAATTTTATTTTTTTTTGCCAATTTCAGTCTTTTTTGGCTACTTTCTGATTTTGTGTGCTCATCTTTGCTTATTTAAACCTAATTCAGCAAATGTGTTCTTACTGCTTTCTTCTGCCAACTTAGGCTTGTCCTTCCATTTCAGTTAAAATTCAGCATGTTTTTAGCTAATTTCAACTGTTTTTCATCAAATTCTTCAGCAATAAGCATTCACACTACATTTTTGCAGAAAATGCAATTTCTCTAATTTATTTTTTGCTCCCTTGATCTTTAAGATACATGACAGTGTTCAGAACGATTATTTTTTTGTGTGTTTAATGTAGTCAAGAATAAAGAGTAAATTATAAAACAACAAGAGATGAATTCTTTCGTTTTGTGCCTGTATGAGAAGAAAGCACATTTTAGCAGTGATGGCTCTCATTTAGATGATCAGGAAGAAAATCAAATAACACGCCTTTAGTTTTTATGATGTAATGAGATGTCAAATTACATCGAGGGATTATAAAATGTGACCCAGACAGTTGAGACATTTCATTTTCACGTCTGTGTGATACTGCACAGGTAATCTCAGTAACATTTCATCTCAGTAACATTTCATCTTAATCCCATGTGTAAACACTGTTTGTCCACAGCATAAAATATTGCAGTTTCATAAGAGTCTCAAAAACCAGAAATACCTACATCTATTAACTAATTTATTTACAGAAACAAAGTTTGTTCTTTTATTCAAAGTTGTTGCTTCTATAACGTAATGTCGGGCAAACCTGCCTTTAAACAGGAAGAGGGGCAGGAAAGTTTTAATCTGAAAACACCCATGCAGCAGATCCTTAAAGATTACTGCTCTTACTTTCCTACTTCCGTCTCGCACATACCGGTAAGTGGATTTGAAATGTGAAAAAAAATTACGTTTGTCATTTCTTTGGAAGACATGTTTTCCTTACTTGCCGCTGCCTTAATTGTGCCACTATTCTTTTGATAAATTTAAAGAAAACAAAGAAATTGAAATTAAAATGACAGAAATCTCATATAGAACAAAAGTCCTCTACAGATCGACTCATGAGAAAAACGGGTATTTGACGTGAATTTTAAAGATGCTGGATGAACTTACTTTGGTTTTAAGTACAGTAAACAGCACTCTCCTCGCTGCATCTTGTCTATGGCTCGGTCAACCCCCAGAGGAATGCCTTTATCTTCACCTTGACCAACAACGAAACTAACGTCCCGGCAGTCGAACAAACGGCCCCCACAGCGTCCTTCCAGGTGCACTGTGAGACACACGAGGCATTTTAGTTGTCTGCCCAACTAAAGAAATTTCAATAGTTTTCTTAAAAACAATTATTGTTTATACCATCGACACTCGCTCCATCGTTGGGATTACTGTAACCGTCCCCTTTGACCTTTATTCTCCGGATGATGCCACCGTCATCTGTAAGTATCTCTCCTTCGAAGTTGAGTAGCTCCATCTGCGTTGGGAGGAAAGGGAAATCAGATTTCTTCTTTAAAAATACCAAATAAAAAGGTATAAACAAAAAGTATTTGTCTGTGGTGCTTAAGTATATGTTGGAGGTGAAAAAATTTCAAAAACTAAAATCGAATGTGAGACATTTGCGATTTTTAAAGGATTTAATCATGTCTACTAAAGACGATTTACTGAGTAGTTGAATGTGCATTATTACTTTTCTTCCTGATACTTATTTAATGTTAATTACAATTATCCTTGACAGACAGGTAAGGAACGTCAGGAGTAAGTTCAACTTAGACAATACTGGCTGTTTAGTGGGGAAAGGGAAATTTAAGTCAATCATTTTGTATCCAGACGGCTTCGTCTTCAGACAAATGAGGCACGGCTCCACACGAGCAGAGCCCCTGAGACTAACATGAAGCTAAAGCAAACCACAAGACAACACCTACCTCAAACACCACTGAGGAGTCGGGAGGAATTCTGTCGGGATTTCCTGCAGATCCATACGCGTATTCTGGCTTACAGAGCAGCGTGGACACCTCGCCTTTCTGCATGGACAGCACGCCAATGTCCCACGCCTTAAGGACTTGTCCTGTGAGAGGATAACGAATCATAATTATTGAATTACTTAATTTGCTTTTAAAATACACTAATCAAACAAATACATTGACAACAAAGCAACCAAAAACGGAAAAGGCTGAAGCCAAAAGTTTACATCTATCTTGTATAAAATGACAAAAAACTTTATTATTACATCAAATGCTTTTAAAGTTTCAAGACTACGTAGAATTTTAAACATCCCAAATTATGGTGGAGGAAAAAATAATAATTATTATCCTTAAATATCCTAAATTGTTTGGAAAAAACAGAGGAGCTACAACTTTAGAGGAGAATTTATTGTATAAAGCCTTCTGTGAGCACTCATGTCAAACAACACTGTTATCCAATTACAAGTGTAAAACCATGGACAACTATGGATAACCATGGGCAACTATGGGTAACTATGGGCAACTATGAGCAACTATGGACAACTATGAGCAACTATGGACAACTATGGACAACTATTGACAACTATGGATAACCATGGACAACTATGGAAAACTATGGACAACTATGGACAAATATGGATAACTATGGAAAACTATAGACAACTATGGATAACTATGGAAAACTATGGACAACTATGGATAACTATGGATAACCATGGACAACCATGGGCAACTATGGACAACTATGGATAACTTGGGCAACTATGGGCAACTATGAGCAACTATGGACAAGTATGGGCAATTATGGGCAACTATGGACAACTATTGACAACTATGGATAACTATGGACAACTATCGAAAACTATGGACAACTAGTGGCAACTACGGACAACTATAGGCAAGTATGGACAACTATAGGCAACTATGGACAAC